CGTTATGTGGAATTAATCTTCCGTACTTTTACGCCTTCTCAAGATGGACGAGGGCACCGAAGATCCGACAACAGCAACGGAGACGCAACAACTATGCCCTCGAGAAACTTCTCCAACTAAACAAGCTGGTATTATTTTTCGCGTTTCCTTATTTTCAGACTTAATATATCTGAAGGTACTCGTACCGTCGATCGCTGCTGGTGCAATTATAGGAAAAGGTGGCGAAGCAATCGCTCAAATTCAAAATGAGACCGGTGCCAAGATAAAGCTTTCAAAATTGAACGATTTTTACCCAGGTAATCTTCCTTACGATCATTATTTATTGACTGTGTTGCGTTAACATTGCATGCAACTTCTCGATGTATATCTTTCTTTAATTTATCCCATGTGGGACCTTTTTGCTATTTAGATTGCAATTAGTCCATATTCCTGCCATATCTTAATAGAATACGTCCGCGCCTAGACAAAAGTTTATTGCAAGCCTATAACGAGGAATTTCTGTTGGTAGCCACAAATAAATAATGATTTGTGACGCTTTTAGGCATAACTTGAGAGCTGCTTACACGGTGTGAGCATAAAGTACATTTATTTCCAACAGCTTACGTTTTCCATCAAAAGCGTTGCGATACTATTGCTTGTTAAGCAAATTCTCTTGATGGCAATTGACATTTTTCGTGCTGTCCTTTCGTGCCTTTTCAGGGGCTTTGAACTAGAACAATCTTTGATATATTTGTGACTTCCTCAGCTGTAGGAATTACCTTTTGATTAATTCCATAAATATCTTCTTCCATCTCATTGAAATACTGCTATATTTAACTCACGTCATTTGGTTTCTGGTCTTATCAGTCCATAATGGGGTGTATAAGTTCTTGTTCATTGCGTCTAACACAGACTAATTTTGCATGCTATTACGTTTTTCTCTACTATTAACATCGCTATAGCAGGACACCTGTTAGCATATTTTACTCAATTGATCTGGAACCTAAAAGAACTACTGATGGGTCGAAGAGTTTTACAGTTTGACGGACGTGAGCTTTTTAGTCTAAACTGAAAACGTTGGTTTAAGCTATTGTGACCTAAATAGGAGGAGGTGAGACATACGCCGCTTCTGATCAACTTTAGTGAATGTCACTCGCTAAACTATTTAATTTTGGAGACAAGCAGTCCCGTGGAATATTCGTAGCTGTCGGTGCCGCGCTCCAAAACGTACCTTATGAGTACCATTTCTTTACGTTTGCAAAATTTCAGAATATTATTATTTGCATACT